TTTACTCTCAACCTCTACTTTAATCATAATTTAAATAAAATATTGAAGACGTTAAAATAACGTCTGACCTTGCACAAGGCTGCGAACAGAATCTGATGTGTCAGCAACAAAACGCATATAAATCTATAAAACAATATGTCGTAGAATTGATCTAACCGAACTTAATCTGCCCCAATGGGAACGACACTAACAATGACAAGCACTCAGATTGAATAAAAAAGACCAGCTGACGGATTGTATTTGTTTAGAGTTATTTACATTTAAGTGCGTCTGTTTTCACACCCATGTAAGATGATGCTAACGAGCTCTTCCTTGAACGTTTTTATAGCAAAGAGATATCGGGACATGATTGAAGACTGTAAATAATGTGTTTCATTAGACAGAACAAACAGTTTTAATTACTTTGTAACCACAACATTAAGGTGTTCCATCCATGTGTTCTCAAATAGCAGTTTACAAATCGATATTGCGTGTTGTGCATAAGCATATTAGCACAGATAAATTTATCAATCGATTAAAATATTGTAGAAAAGACACACATGTGAATATCTCCTTTTAATACAACTTTCGAGTCATATACCTGACTTGGCTAAACGTGTCATAGTGTGATAAAATTATGTTGTAGATAAAAGGAGTTTTTATATATTTGAACGGCCCAGTCGTTTATCCTTGCGCCTTCTATAATTAATATGAATGTACCTCTGCACACATATACTGGGGCTGATAAAGGCAAGAGGTTGATCATTCCATCCGACATGTTTTATCAGAAATAATCAGGCAAACCCAATGTTCTTACAGGGATATTGATAATATGGACAGATATTAGCTTGTACAGATTTCTGCTGTACAATACTACTGATGTTGATATCATCAACTCCTTTTTTTGAAAACTCGGCTTTCCTAGATTACGAGTTACTAAAGGACCACGACTATCCGTACGGAGAGGTTTATAAACCCTTATTTGTGCCACATCGATAATTTTATGACGTCTCCAAGCTGATTTCCACGGGTCAAAAGAAACAGTATTAGCCGAATCCGCTTGGAAACATTACATCTTAACTCTGCAGCTGACATCGGTGAAGTTTGTAAGTTATATAATACAACTGCATTTCTTCACTGTTCTTATTTGACAATTACTTAGTATCACAATGTATTCGGTACCATGTCATGCGGGTCATGGACATTTTGTTAAACAGTTCAAATCTCTGTAGCTAATGTACACTGACATAGAAAAATTGTCAGATAAACTAAGTCCACTGGAGTAAGAGAAGGACCACGGCCAACACGTGGAATATTTGTACTTCCACCTACAAATGTTTTTGTTACAATCGGATCAGAATGTCAGTCACAGTCAATATCGTCTGGTGTGTGGCTAACACTTTACTCACTCCTGACTAGGCCTGTTCAGAGCCGTCTAAGGTACACCGTTATTGTATACCAGGACTGCCATACACCACTGTAGTCCTCATCTCCCTGAAATTTTACACCTGTTGTAAGCGCAGCTCGTGATTTAACAAAGCGACATGGTGTCTTGGGGATTTTTCCTCTTTCATGCATACGTAATGTTAACTTGGTTCACAATAATGGGGATAAATTGTAAGTTGAAGATTATAAACTTACTAAAAAAATCGTACTATGTTGCGTAATCATTGATCATAATTATCGTTGACGTTGGACTGGACTTGTGTTCAATTCGCTCGTTATAATTTTGAAATATCACGTGATTCAAACTATGGTCAACCCTGGGTCGTAGTCCAATATATATATAGTCAATCAAGTAATAATGACCATACAGACAATTAACAAATTGTCGAGGCAATCTGTCCCTCTACCAAAACACAAATATTACATAAATTGCATCACATACATAGAACACAATTCATTGACCATACATCTATTCCAGTAATACGCATCCAACGAACATTTGTTTGTTAGGATCCAGAGTAGCAACTTTGGACAATACCGTCGATATTACTTAGTAGAGTACATATACGCTGGTTACGGTGACCTGGCTAGTAAATATCTAAGGGCGTTGTTGTGGATCGTTCCTAAGCAACTCTGGGAAAAAAATTATGCAACTAATGCCCCATATGTACATAGCTATAGTGTTACGTAAATAATGCATGATTTCTTAATGATGAATCTTTATCTTAACGAAATACTATATAGCAAGAATTTTTTATCCATGTTAAGCTTTCGCTATTTAGTCCCTGGACAGGGAGGGTGAATTTAGGATGAGGCGAACATTCATCATACTGAAACATTTCATATCATCTTCAGAAGGCAAATTGAACATGAACCGAAATCGTTTATAATGATATAAGGGCGAAAATAACCTGTGGCGAAAAATTCCTTGTATACAGTAGCTTGTCAGTGAGAATGGCAGGTCCTCCTGGAATCAAACAAAAAATGATAGTACCTCGAACCCATTTGTAAATATGGTTGATATGACAAAATACGGTATTAGCTATATAACAAAACAAACGGCGTGGTTATATCACACACTTTTGAAATTGTCCTACTGATGTGTGGGTAACTTATGTAATGGCTGACACGTTTTATATCTCAAAAGGGGCCCTTCATTACTAGGCGCATGACCACTTAATGCCATGTCGGGGAATAGAAGGTCAGGTATGACACCGAGACATTCCCTGCCTGGGCAGCACTGGGGATATCTACTAAAAGAAATGGGCTGTAGATAATGTTTCCACAGACTGACATGCAAAGAATTTTCTCTGTAAGTCCAAAGTTAAGGAATGCTTTTTTTCTCAGTAAAATAATATTTTTTTTGCTTATTTCAATACTCAAACACAGTATGAACATCAGTTTTATTTTGTGTCCTTATAAGTAAACATGAAGTATTTTGATACATTGGAGTATTTTAAATGAAAATTAAACTCATCGTTATAGTTTTAAGCAGTAAGAAGATGGAATGTATTCCTACATATAGATACACACACATATATATATTTGTGTGGTGTACGTTGTAATATGTAATTAAGGTTATCTAACCAGGGTACGACGAAAGAACCGAAACCAATGTCGGCGTATTACACATATACATTGGCATGCTGTTTGATAACACAGATAAATGGGCGTTTATCTTACTTAGTGTTGCAGCTACGGTCAGTATTGATCTATATTTATCGATGTCAGACTTGGCCTTTACACTTGAATGATTTTATCAGGATATCTTCAATCTCGTTTTTATTGTATTACACGAGATGTTTACTGAGTTGATACCGCGGAAGCTGAATTCGGCCTTGACTACAAGTTACACTTCTCTGAAACACACAACTGAATAACATGATTCAGGAAGCGAAGTAAACGTCAAAATTAAGACAGGTAGTATGTTAACTTCATAATTTAAGATATTGGGTTTACATCAATGGAGCTGTTATTGTAACGGGAGGTAGGATGGTGTTTCTGGGAAGGGCTACGTCAATTTTACTTCAAAAACAATCTTATCTGTCAAATATGTCCTTCATTTTGCATCGCTGTATTGCTATTCATGTCTGCTCCATTGCTTTTAAAATTTGATTTCAGTCCCATGAGAATGTAACTGTGCTTTGTGTCATTGTGTATGTTACTTTGAAAATTACATTTAGAACATATTATCCTGGTTGTCGGCCAAGCCCTGGATCATGATAATAACGACTTCTTGGTTTCATTTAAAGATATCTTACTGTTCATGTAACAGTTTATGAAAAAATAAATTCAATTTATAAACGTTTATTTTTAATCTGTTTGGATTTCATAATCCTAATACACTTTGTATCTTCTATAGTGATAAAGGTTACACTATACATCTTACGTAATCGTATGTCCCTGTCAGAATAGAGATAGTAATATCAGAACCATACACTCTCCCAGAAATGTGTATGGTAACACTGTAGACATTACAGAACCATATTCTCTAACAAAAATGTGTATGGTAACACTGTAGACAGAACAGAACCATATGCTCTCCCAGAAATGTGTATGGTAACACTGATGACAGAACAGAACCATATTCTCTAACAAAAATGTGTATGGTAACACTGTAGACATTACAGAACCATATACTCTCCCAGAAATGTGTATGGTAACACTGTTGACAGAACAGAACCATATACTCTCCCAGAAATGTGTATGGTAACACTGTAGACAGAACAGAACCATATACTCTCCCAGAAATGTGTATGGTAACAATGTAGACAGAGCAGAACCATATACTCTCCCAGAAATGTGTATGGTAACACTGTAGACAGAATAGAACCATATACTCTCCCAGAAATGTGTATGGTAACACTATAGACAGAATAGAACCATATACTCTCCCAGAAATGTGTATGGTAACACTGTAGACAGAATAGAACCATATACTCTCCCAGAAATGTGTATGGTAACACTATAGACAGAATAGAACCATATAATCTCCCAGAAATGTGTATGGTAACACTATAGACAGAATAGAACCATATACTCTCCCAGAAATGTGTATGGTAACAATGTAGACAGAGCAGAACCATATACTCTCCCAGAAATGTGTATGGTAACACTGTAGACAGAATAGAACCATATACTCTCCCAGAAATGTGTATGGTAACACTATAGACAGAATAGAACCATATACTCTCCCAGAAATGTGTATGGTAACACTATAGACAGAATAGAACCATATACTCTCCCAGAAATGTGTATGGTAACACTATAGACAGAATAGAACCATATACTCTCCCAGAAATGTGTATGAAAATCATTAGTCGTTAATGCTGTTTACAATATTTCTTAGATGGAAAATTTGACCCTCAACACAAAAGTATTGCGAATGGTGACGTCATTGCTAATACAAAACCATACATCATTCTTCTCGCGTTTATTAAGTATATCGTACAATATAAAACCGCTGATTACTGAAGACTTCCGGCCTTTCGTGATCACCTTGTCTCAAAGTATACACATGTTCTTTATCAGGTGAAAACGACATCAGTAGATGATACAGAAATACGCTGATCGAAATGTAATGATTTATTACGTAGCATCACGTGACCTGGTAATATACATGTATACCAACATTTGAGCTTAATCATATATATAGATATATATTTCATTTGATATGATTTAGTAAATTTCTGCTTCACACACTTCAAAAGTGAATTTAAATATCCTATTTTGGTTGGTCGTTATGTTATTACTATATATAGATATATATGGAATACATTTAACATCAATAAACTGGCCAAAGATTCAATCAGTGTTCGAGACTTAAAAGTCTGAATCAAAGTCAGTGTATTCCGAATTTTGTAGTCCTTAATACAGATAAATTGAAAATCACAGAAGTTAAAAGTACTTTTTATGTAAAATAAACCAGTTTAGTGGCCTCTCCATGAAGTTATACTTATTACATGTATCTTAAAAGCAGTCCTCTCCACTGAATATATGCACCAAATCACCACGATTATTTGACGTCAAACATCAGTGATTTATTTAAAACTTTAATCTTAAATACCAAAACAACTCTACATTTACACACCGGCCACGTACATATCCTTTGAGAATGCCGGGGATGTTTTGTTTGTAAATTCAACATCAAACACAGTGCCCAAAATTACCATCAAGATACGTCTGATCACCAACATTGATAAACGTCGCACTACCTTTTTCAGGTACAAAATAACATGTACTGGAATTTCACACTTTTACTTGCTCAGCGACATTAGATTTCGAGGGGAAAGACATCATTCTGACAACATGCTCCTTCACACCAGATGTATATCTTAGTTAACTATCACTGCCTCCGAATATCTATCACATTGGTATAAAACGATACAGTCATCAGACATATGATCTGTAATAATATATTTGGTCAAATACACGTTCGGATATCCGTTCTGAGATCCGTTCATGACATTGGTCCTACCGACAGATCCAATAGTTGCTCACATATCTGTTTCTGTAATTCGCGTTGACGCTCCGCCGTAACCAGCGCCATTTGTGAGGAAGGTGTGTCGATGGAAACTTCCCGGTTTTTCCGCAGGACCACAACACGCTGTGATACGGAAAGTGTTGATGAATTCGTGTCTGAAATGCCTGGCTGTCATTAAATATATAAATATGTTACACGAATATTGTGACAAACCAATAGTGTCGATAATTGTCTTAGCCGTGTACCACGAAAAGTAGTCCCGCCACTGAGGATCAAGGCTCATTTCGTACACCGGAACGTGATAAGATCCTTCCGGAACACTGAACTGTAGAGCAAACAATATAGCCACTGGAAGGGTCGTAAATATTCTATAAAAAGATATACACAGCAGCGTTACTGTAGACGGAGCTATTTTGGAGCGTCGTGATCGCAAAGAATCATTTTCCTGACGGCAGGTAGACTCTCGACGCACTTTTGTTGCTTTCGATGCGACTTTAAGGACAAACATATTGAGAAAGAAAGTGGCGATAGGTACTACACAGAATAAAAGTACATCCGTGATCCATGTCCAATACTCGAAGAACTTTGTTTGGGACCCGCCACATGCAGAATCTTTGTATACCCAGCCGTGTGCCTGGGGTAGAGATAATCCGAAAGCAAACAGCGCTATGGCAATTATTTCTTTGGGTGCTCGGTGGTGCCTGGAAAACCGTTCACTTTTAAATGGTCTGACAATAGATACAAAACGTTCTGTTGTGAAGCCAAACACGAGCAATGGACTCATGTATTGAGCAAACATATAAAAAACGAAGAAAGTAGGACACCAAACTGGAACGTCGATAGTGGGAAGTCCCCAGGTAAAATGGAGGTAACGTTGGATGTAGAGGAACAATAACAGAAGGTCGGTCGCCGCCAACGCTGTCAGGTACAGCGCAGAAGTGTTGATGTGCTTCATACGTCGATGTGACCAAATTTTCATCGTTATTATATTGCCAACAAACCCAATGACCAGCCACATGGGAGTGACGTATCGGTCCAGAAAAGACGCTAGAGGGGTGTTTATGACACTTATACACAGAAACCAATTCCAGCTTGGACTGGTGAAGTTGTCAGTCCGGGGACATGGGCCCTTTAACCATTCGGGCGTGGCGTTCTCATGGTAACTGTATCCAGGCGCCGCTACTAGACTAGTGTTCATCATCTCTATCGACCTCATAGTAAAGTGTACATCATGGAGCGCCAAACCTGGAGAATACAAATACAAAATGTATAGTTATATATTATAATATATCAAAGAGAGCGGAGGGGTGGGGGAGGGGTTACGATGAAATGTTTGTGATAACACTACCGCCTGTGGTATTCTGATACACTGTTATAGGTGCATGGCTTTATCAATAAAACGACACGAAGCCTTGTTGATTATATATAAAATAATATTTCATTTGTATGATCGTATCTGTTGTTGTATAAAGATGATAATGAGTTTGTGTTATGTTACAATACATCTGACACTGTGCCTATGTATACATAATGTATAAATTAGAGAGAGACCCTACAATCTACCTTCAGGTTTCTCAATCTCACGGTTGTTGCCCTTGTGAGTGTTGACTATGACTTGGTAGTAGCTGATAGAATGGGCTATCTGATAGTAACAATCAGATGTGGAGCCGTTGTTACACCAGCATAAAGTTGGACTGTTATCATTGTCTAGTGTTAACTAAAGGACATAGTCATGTCATAACATGAGTACCGGAAGTGATATAATTTATTTAGTGTCATTAACTTTATATATTGGTGTTTATAGAGAAATGTTCCAGTAACATCAAATAGTTGATAATACAGATAAATACATGGGACCAAGGTTAGGTATAGGCATACACTGAAATCTATCGTCCTTGTTATAAGACCACAGGGAAGACTTTGTCGATAAAATGAGGCTTGGACAAGAAGAAACGTATCACAAAAGAGTGTCTGTCTTTGAATGCAGTGTTATTCAGACCTTTGAGAACAAACCGTTTTTTGTCTTCGTTCGAGGCTAAATTTATCGAATAGATCAGGTAATACAATAAAATTCAGCTTAGCATCGGGTATATTGTCATAGCATACTACACATCGGATTATTGATAAGCAAGCTGCTGTTTTAAACAATGGACCGCAATTCTTTATTTGAAAACACCAGAAACTTTTTGACTCTTTTTTCCTTACGTAGCAAGCAAAATACATGATTATTGATAGTTCAATATTATGTTCTGTGGAGCAAATAGTCGATTAAGTTATTTGGTGCCTTAGTTGTATGTTATTTTAGAGAAAACTGTGCCAGGGATCTCGATTTTGTCAACAATGTGTTGATAGTATGATGAAAGATATAGAAACAAAAGCAAGCAGTTGCTGCTACACTAAAACGAAGCGAAGTCCTCTAACTGTAGTTACCAATGGGGGTAGTGTTTGTCAGTGTCTATAATACCGAGAATTCATCTGACTGTAGTTACCAATGGGGGTAGTGTTTGTCAGTGTCTATAATACCGAGAATTCATCTGACTTCAGTTACCATTGGGGGTAGTGTTTGTCAGTGTGTATAATACCGAGAATTCATCTGACTGTAGTTACCAATGGGGGTAGTGTTTGTCAGTGTGTATAATACCGAGAATTCATCTGACTGTAGTTACCAATGGGGGTAGTGTTTGTCAGTGTCTATAATACCGAGAATTCATCTGACTGTAGTTACCAATGGGGGTAGTGTTTGTCAGTGTGTATAATACCGAGAATTCATCTTACTATAGTTACCAATGGGGGTAGTGTTTGTCAGTGTGTATAATACCGAGAATTCATCTTACTATAGTTACCAATGGGGGTAGTGGTTGTCAGTGTGTATAATACCGAGAATTCATCTGACTGTAGTTACCAATGGGGGTAGTGTTTGTCAGTGTGTATAATACCGAGAATTCATCTTACTATAGTTACCAATGGGGGTAGTGGTTGTCAGTGTGTATAATACAATGGGGGTAAGTGTGGGGGTATTGGGGGTAGTGTTGTCAGTGTGCATAAGTGTTTGTCAGTGTGTATAATACTGAGAATTCAGAATTCATCTAACTTCAGTTACCATTGGGGGTAGTGTTTGTCAGTGTCTATAATACCGAGAATTCATCTGACTGTAGTTACCAATGGGGGTAGTGGTTGTCAGTGTCTATAATACCGAGAATTCATCTGACTTCAGTTACCATTGGGGGTAGTGTTTGTCAGTGTCTATAATACCGAGAATTCATCTGACTGTAGTTACCAATGGGGGTAGTGGTTGTCAGTGTGTATAATACCGAGACTTCATCTGACTGTAGTTACCAATGGGGGTAGTGGTTGTCAGTGTGTATAATACCGAGAATTCATCTGACTTCAGTTTCCATTGGGGGTAGTGTTTGTCAGTGTCGAGAATTCATCTGACTTCAGTTTCCATTGAGGGTAGTGTTTGTCAGTGTCTATAATACCGAGAATTCATCTGACTGTAGTAACCAATGGGGGTAGTGGTTGTCCGTGTCTATAATACCGAGAATTCATCTAACTGAAGTTACCAATGGGGGTAGTGGTTGTCATGTGCATAATACCGACAATTCATCTGCCTTCGGTTACCATTGGGGGTAGTGTTTGTCAGTGTCTATAATACCGAGAATTCATCTGAATGTGGTTACCAATGGGGGTAGTGGTCGTCAGTGTGCATAATACCGACAATTCATCTGCCTTCGGTTACCATTGGGGGTAGTGTTTGTCAGTGTCTATAATACCGAGAATTCATCTGAATGTGGTTACCAATGGGGGTAGTGTCTGTCAGTGTGTATAATACCGAGAATTCATCTGACTGTAGTTACCAATGGGGGTAGTGGTTGTCAGTGTGTATAATACCGAGAATTCATCTGACTTCAGTTTCCATTGGGGGTAGTGTTTGTCAGTGTCGAGAATTCATCTGACTTCAGTTTCCATTGGGGGTAGTGTTTGTCAGTGTCTATAATACCGAGAATTCATCTGACTGTAGTAACCAATGGGGGTAGTGGTTGTCCGTGTCTATAATACCGAGAATTCATCTAACTGAAGTTACCAATGGGGGTAGTGGTTGTCATGTGCATAATACCGACAATTCATCTGCCTTCGGTTACCATTGGGGGTAGTGTTTGTCAGTGTCTATAATACCGAGAATTCATCTGAATGTGGTTACCAATGGGGGTAGTGGTCGTCAGTGTGCATAATACCGACAATTCATCTGCCTTCGGTTACCATTGGGGGTAGTGTTTGTCAGTGTCTATAATACCGAGAATTCATCTGAATGTGGTTACCAATGGGGGTAGTGGTTGTCCGTGTCTATAATACCGAGAATTCATCTGACTGTAGTTACCAATGGGGGTAGTGGTTGTCAGTGTCTATAATACCGAGAATTCATCTGACTTCAGTTACCATTGGGGGTAGTGTTTGTCAGTGTGTATAATACCGAGACTTCATCTGACTGTAGTTACCAATGGGGATAGTGTTTGTCAGTGTGTATAATACCGAGAATTCATCAGACTGTAGTAAGCATTGGGAGTAGTGTTTGTCAGTGTGTATAGTAGTACCGAGAATTCATCTGACTGTAGTAACGAATGGGGGTAGTGGTTGTCAGTGTGTACATCTATGATACCGAGAATTCATCCTGCGTTAAAGATCCTGGATAGGTTTTTCACCTAGCCAACCCCTCCCTCCCTATCACATAACTTGTAATAACAACGACACACCCACATCCGTGCCTGATTTATTAGAGATACCGACAAAAATCATGGATGAAACAATTTGGACCTATCAGTCGAAAATTTAGAACGAATAGCCCAATTTTAATAACTCAAATAAAAGTTTGAACGAACCCAGTTTTTCTTAATAAATTATAACAGCGAACAAACATTACATCGTATATTGATGGGTTCCAGCGTGGAAATTTATCAAAATTCGTTGTCGTCGACAATTCCCCAGCTGGATTGTAATTTGTCAGATATTGTTGTAATACCTCGAACCGGTAAAACCGGATCACATATCAATCATTTGTGACAAACCTGGATATATAAATATAACAGGATGCTGGGGTACATAAACATCATTAGAAAATAAAAATTAAGATTTTAAAGCAACATCCTCACATGTCATAAACATGACAAGTACACGGCGAGAGTGTGACTAAAAATTGATAAAGGACAATAAACAACAGAACAAAAGTTGATTGTAATGTAACCTGTATAAACGGAACCTTGAATTTTTGTTACAGATACAATTAAGTCTTTGATTTAATCATAAAAATACAGATTATAACAACGTAATACAAAGATTGGGTTATTGTAGAAAGCAGTTAACTTTGATTTCTGAAGCACTTCTCTTAATTAAGATTTTTTTTTCAAAAATGTCAATATGGTTCAATTGGGTTTAAATGTTATTCATTTGTCACAGATGTGACAGCTAGTATTTTGATTTATCGTGCCCTCGTCGATATTTTGACGTAATCAAATCTTTATACACCTATACACCCTTTATGTATTCTTCAGCAGGTCTACAGAAACCTTTTACGTATTAGAGAACGATTACAGTGCCACCTTGTTATTATAAACTCCTTTAAATCACTTTCTTTTTAACATTCTATTGAAGTGTTATTTGATCATACAGCGTATCTGTTAAATTGAATTCGCCCCATAAATCTTACATAAACAGATTTGCCCTGTTATTACCTTGCGCTAGACTTTTTAGCTGTGTAAGTGTCTGTAAACATCTTGCCCAAGTCATGAGTATACTTCATAATACATGCAATCCTTTCCTAGATATTTTCCAGGGGGTGGCTGAGACGTGTTAATGATTGGAAGTAAATATTTTCAATTTTCAAAAATGAACACCCACTTGATAAGAACATTGTGTTGTTGAAATGCTATTGTTATATCAATGTATAATAAAATCACAATGTATTGTGTAAGAAAAATAATTTGTTACCAATAATATTTTTATTGAATTAAAAAATTATGTGTTCACTGTTTGTACAAAGTCTACATAACAAGACCATAAAGACATGCGATGATTCATTCAGTAGAGCGTTTTCAGCTTCTCCCTGTCCAAGGTGGTTTATGTTTCTTAATAGGAATCGGGTCGGTTTGTGCTAAGGAATCGGTCTGTGCTAACGGATGGTAATGATGTTCCCGGACAAGACACCTACGACGACCTCCCGTATGCTTTCTGAATATAAGTTGCCGTATACT